GCAAAGTGGCACCCACGGAACCCCGATTCTCCAGCAGAAGCTTCTAGAAACAAAAAGAGTATCCATATGTAATTAAACTTACATAAAATCAGAGCCTGAGAGGCTACAGTCATGTTTCTTGGCTGCGCACCATAATTACCTGGAGAGCTTCCAAGAATACATCGATGCCGGAAACCCACCCCCACGGTTCTCAACCGCCTGGAGTGGGACCAGGCACCAGTATTTTTGAAAAGCTTTTCCAGATGATTCTAATGTGTGCCCAGTATTCAGAGGCACTATCTTTATGTTTTCCTGTCTCAGAATGGGTATGAGAACTTAATGCTAATGAGAGAGCACTTCAGATTTTATTACCCCACGTCTCAGAAAACCACTTTCCTCTGTTGAGTGCCTCTGACCCATAGAAGAAAAAATCAATAGTCTAAATGTACAAGTACAAAGTGGCTTAATTGAATTTTTTTACAAAAAGAGAAAATCGAATCCATTTGTTTTAAATGTAACAACAGGGGGGAAAGAAACTATTGTTCAGTGTATACCTATTACGTGCCATGATCTACTTTAAGTACTTTTACATGTATTGTTTTATCTATCTCCCAAGCAACACAGAAAGGCAAATATTATTATTCCCATTTCTACAGTCGAGGAAACAAAAACTCAGCGATGTGAAATTGACTTGTCCAAGTCACAGAGCTGGCACGGGGATGCCAGGAGGCAGACGAACAAATGGCCCGTCTGCTGCCCTCACCTGTCTTCTTTCTGTCAGGCCATGCTGCCCTATCTAAGGAAAACCCTAAGAGATGATCCTTCACTGAGGAATAGATGTTCTTTCCAAGTCAATGAAAGGGATAGATGGAGCTGGACAGTCAAGAGAAGGTAAGAAAAGTCGAGAGTAAGAATGGAAGACAGGGCAAGCTAAGGGAACGGTCAGGGAGGAGACATCACCTGCACCCAGCAGATGAGTCGCAGTGCATGAGGCAAAGTCATACCAATGTCCACATTTTCCAGCAGATACTCAGATGGTCAAGGCAGCAAATACAGCCACGTGTTACTCTGTGTCCTGAATTGTGCCCTGAGGGTGCATAACACACAGTCCTGCCTTCCAGATGCTTATAACCTCGCCTGGGAGGCAGATTTGCAGGCCCACAGGATAGATTTTGCCTTGTCTTAGCAGAGGTAAGCACCGAGAACTGGGAGCAGAGATGAGGAAGCTGTATGGGTAGGAGAAGGCTCACAGGAGCGGCTCATCCGAGGGGGCTTTGAAACGAGGTAACTCCTTCACCATGAAGGCAGGAGGAACATCCGGAACTAAATCACAGAAACAGAAACTAGCAAGGTGTGTGCCTGAGACACAGAAAAGGGCCCGTCATAAATTCCTGAGACACAGGGACCATCACATTCTCACTGACTGTATCCTCCCCCAGGGCTGAGATTGTATCTGTTAGCTTTGAATCTCCACATGGTTCTCATCTGTAGTCACCCAGGAAGGTTCTGCCATGTTCACCTCAGTTCCTCGATCATTTAACGGCAGAATTCGACTCCAGCTCCCTCTCCCCACTGCCCACAGATCTGTGCAGCCGGTAGAAGAGGCAGGCCTCTGTTCCGTGTTAGGATTCCAAATTGCAACATTTTTTTTTAATTGCATTTTAGGTTTTGGGGTACATGTGCAGAGCATGCAATACAGTTGCATAGGTACACACAGGGCAGTGTGTTTTGTTTGCTTTCTCCCCTTCACCCACATTTGGTATTTCTCCCCTGGCAATCCCTCCCCACCTCCCCCTCCCACTGGCCCTCCCCTTTTGCAACATTTTATATAAAGCGCTTTCTTCAGTTTCTATATCTCTTTCCTGATCACAATTCACATGAAAAGTTTAAAGTGAGCAAAGCTGAATTAATTTCTTAAGGAGTTGGGGACAGGCCATCTTTGAGCTGGGAAACCAGCTTCCATTAACGTATTTGGAATTCTGGGTGTTTCATCAAAGCCTGGAAATTTTTTTCAACTGCACAGAAACTTTATACTTTTGTCTTTAAAGCAGCTACTCCATTTTATTTTAATTAGCAAAGACTTTGGCAGGTTTTAAATAATAGTTTACCTTTATGAAAGAAAACTAGGGCAGAAACACTCTAAATCTACTTATTGGAATAAACTGAAGAGTCATTAAGTCCTTTCCAACAAGATTTAGACAGTTCATTAGAATAAATATATACTTCATCTCCCTCTTTATATATCATCTTAAAACAACAGAGCAAAGGTACAATGCTTGAATAATGACACACAGTCTGAAAATATTCTAAATATATTGAAATCACTGCAGCTCCTTCCACTTCATATACTTTCAAAACATTTATAATTTGTATGGTGCGTCTATTAAAGGCTGTATAATAGCCAGGAACAGGGCAGCACTCAGGAATTTCTTGCTTTACCTATACTCAAACTGTGCCCAAACCCTGTGAAGTTATGACTAAACCAATCAGAGGATTCCACATGAGTCCAGGCTGAAATTACTTCTTGAAAGTTTAAGCCAATCCTCATTCTTTTGAAGTAATTCATTCAATTTAGATTAAAAGTACTCTTCTTTCCTGAAAGTTAACTGGTTTTAATAAGGGATGTAGTCCCTATTCTGTTTGATATTTTAAAGATGTTCAAAAAGAAATGTAAATAACTTTAAACAACCCAGACCTAAGCCATTTAAAGAGACAGCAGATGTAATTTCTATGTCTCTCTCAATCTAGAGTCTAGGGCATCCATTAGGTGAATCCTTCGATTGCTGCCATTATCCTAGAACAAGGGTAGGTGCATGATTCCTGGTCACCTAACTCCCAGCCAGTGCTCTACCTCCCACAGCCTCCATTCCTTAGAGCTCTGGTACTGACCTAAGGGTTACAGAAGGAGATCAATTTCCAGACCTAATCCCAGAAAGTAAATACACAATGATGTAGTATATGCTTAGATTCATTCTTCAATTTCTCGAATCACAAAATATTGGTGCTAAGAGGTATCTTACAAGGGATCAGTTTCAAACTCTCCATGGTAGAGTAAGCCCCAGAGTCATTAAGTGACTTTCTCAAGGTCACACAGCTAGTTAGTGACACAACTGGGCCTATAACCAGCCACCTCCTCTGAGTATGTGCTCTGATCCCTGCTGCTCAGTGTTCTATGCAGACCAGCATTATCAGCATTGCTTCAGAGCCTGTTAGAAAGGCAGGCTTTCGGGCTCCACCCAAGACCCTTTAAAGCTGAATGTGCATTGTAACAAATCTTGCTCTTTTTTGAGACAAGGTCTCGCTGTGTCACTCAGGCTGTGGTTGTGCACTGAGAAGCACAGCCCACTGCAGCCCGGAACTCCCAGGCTAAAGCTGTCTTGCCACCTTAGCCTCCTGAGCAGCTGGTGTTACAAGCACACACTGCCACACCTGGCTAATTTTTTTATTTTTCATTTTATGTAGAGTCGGGATCTTGCAAAGCTGCCAGGTCTGGTCTCAAACTCCTGGACTCAAGCGATCCTCCCAACTAGGCCTCCCAAATTGCTGGGATTTGAGGCATGAGCCACCACAGCTGGCCCAAAACTTGAATGTGCACATTACAGAACCAAAGCCAAGCCAGGCACATTGTCACGGATCTGTAGTCCCAACCACTGCGGATGCCGAGGAGGCGAGATTTCCTGAACCCAGCAGTTTGAGGCTACAGTGAGCTATGATTGTGTATGTGAATAGCACTGCATTCCTGCCTGGGAGGTATAGCAGTTCTCGTCTCTAAGGGACACATTTTCAATTTAAAAACTATAAGAATTGAAGGCAAGTAGATGTTGGGTTGAAGCATGGTTCTACGTCTTCTACATGTAAGCAGAAATCTCAAAATCCTGAAAGCATCATTTAGAATCTGGAAATAACATCACTACCCACCTTGCAGAGTTTTCATTGTATAAAGCACAACACAGATACATGCAAATGCATTTCATGAAGTATGTATGTGCATAAGTGTGTGGCATATACTTGCTGATATGTTATATAGTAGCTATTCTAATATGGTATACAGTAGCTATTCTAATATAGTATATAGTAGCTAATCTCTGATATAGTATATAGTAGCTAATCTCTGATATAGTATATAGTAGCTAATCCAATATGGTCTATGGTAGCTAATGTTATTTCCATCTCATGCTTATCATTAATATTGTACTTAACCAGATGTAATGACGATGCATCCATGAAGGAATCGCCAGTGTTCCTTCCTTTGTTCTAACGTGTTAAATATCATTTTAACTTTTACATGTGATTAAGACTTCTTTATTTAATGTTCCTGATGCCCAGGAAAATTATTATTATCTGGAAAACACATAATACTAGCTAACTACATTTAGTGCCATGCATAGAGAGGAAAGAACTTCTCCCGAAGCCAAGTCATAATGGAAACTACACAACATTCTCAAAACACCTTGACTCTTGATTCCATAAACCTGGTCTCCAGAAGCCAGGGAATGTCAGCTGCCACTGATGCTGTCACTTTCCTAGGCAGAGACTCAACTGCCATAAGCAGAAGCCACAACATTGGCAGAAGTGGGCCACAGTTAAAAGATGATGCTTCATCACCAATATGTCACAATTGTCATCACTTAAAAAAAAAAAAACAGAAGGGGAAAGAAGAAGTCAAATTTTAGTATCCAAATCTGAACTAAAATTTTGGAAAAATACAGCATAGTACAGAGTATGAAACCATACCAAAGTGATATTTTGAAGGAGATATTTTGGGGAAAATTATGTTTTCCAAAGGCACTAACTCTCAACCCCAGCAGAGTGTTACAATCAGCTAAGGGAGCTTTAAAAAGATTGAATGCAAATTTCTGCGAGGCACCAGGCTCTAGTGTTCTTTAAAACTTCCCAGTCGATTTTAATGTGCAGCGAGGATTGAGAACCCCTGCCCATGGCGTCAAAGCCCTGGTGTTGTTTCAGAGTCGGCCCACTGAGAGCTCTTCGTGGCTGTTAACTCCAGTGTGTACCTCTTCTAGGTCTTTCTGCCAATCCTCCAGGACACCCCCCACAAGGAGAGGAGACCCTGGACCAACATCCTCTAAGATGTTTATATGGACCAGCGGCCGGACGTCTTCATCGTACAGACATGACGAGAAAAGGTAAATGCACTGGGATTCTGGGCACTCTTCGGAGCATGTAACCTGACTCCCCAACGAGGATGCTGACAGGAAGGTGTTCATTAGGCCACTGAGCCTTCCTCTGCAAGGTGAGGACGGACTCTGCACTGAAGGAGCAGGGTCTCAGCACACTGCCTTCCTTCTCCTTGCACATTACATGTTCACTTTCAGCAAATAGCTCTGAAAAAGTTGTTCCGTGTCAGAAACGCCCTTGTCACAGGCTCTTGGCTTAGCTAACTCCGGCTCTGCCTTCCAATTTCCTGTAAGAACCAGCACTCCCACCATCCTCTTTAACCAGACAGACCGTGTCGCTGAATTTCCAATGCCAAGCACCGTGCCTGGCACACAGTGCTCAACAAACACTGAGCACCAGATGTATTAATAATAATTTATTCATTGAATTAATAAAAATTAAATAATAAACAAGATGGTTAACAACATGATAAACACAGAACTTCTGGCAGTTCAGTTTCTTCTTCTGAAGTGATGAAAACTGCATTTCTGAGCACTGGATATATGGCAGGAGAGAAAACAGAAACTATGAGAAGAGGAAAAGAGGACAGACAAATCCACTGAGCCCTCAAAATCCTTGGGCGAATAGCCTGCGGGGAGGGGAAAATGAGGGAATAGAGGAAGGATGGAGGGCAAAGGCAGCGTTAATAAAAGACACGGTGACCTTTATGCAACTCAATCCGGTTCTCTCACTTGGGTTTAGGGATGAATGTATTCGTCAAATTCTCCAGTCGTTTTTAAATATTTAGTCTCCCTCTTTCTCATTGACCTTGTACTATTATCTGGGTTCCAAGGAGATAAATGGTAAACATAACTGCCTTTACCAGCATATTGCCCCTTAAGCAAGTTGCTTGTCAGGCAGAATCTGACAGAAATTAGATTGATTTGGTTGAAGGAAATTTGTGAAAAAATAATAATAAAATAAAAATTAAAAATTGCAGTTGATCAATAGTGCGGGGCACAAGGAGAAGAAACTGATGGGAGTTTGCTTGAATACTGTTTTGAGAGCTGATTCCTTTATTTTCCTTCTAAAACCTACTTCCCCACAGATAAAAATTCTGTAAAAAATTTCAAAAGGAAAGTCGTTCTTCACAATAATTATATATTACAGCAAAAATTGGGAAGCAAGTTGAAAATTCACCACAGAAAATCTGCTAAATAAATCACTGAATATAATATACCACTTAGCACTTTAAAATGCTCTGACATTAACCAAAAAAGCAACTCAAAAAACTGCACACAAACTATGATTGCAGCCACAAAAAATACACAAAGGCAGACGTCTGGAAGAAATAGCATGGTTTTCACTGCTCTGCTTTCCAAATGCTTTGTCATATATTGTTACCTTAATTATGAAAAAATAATTATATGATATTTAAGTAAAATTATAGCCCAGAGGGAACTAGTGTTTGAACAGAGTCCCACAGCTCATCGTGGTGCATCATCAGATTGACTGAAAATTTCTTTCACTTGATCATCCCTAGGTTTTCACTGCTTTTCCAAGGCTTAATCAAATTATTTTCCATTCGCTTTCAAGTTGAATAATCTTTCAGCAAGATCTCTTCTGTAACACTATAAAACTTCAGGTGTCATTTCAAATCCCATATTTGAAAGTGCAGAAGGGCAGAGATTTGGTCCTGAGACTTTCCCGCCAGGACCAAATCCAAGAGTCATGCTGCGTACAGGAATATTGCAACTGCCAACAGCCAACTGTCCTGGAATTCTGAAGGCTTTATTAGAGCAAGTGAAGTATAACGTATTTGTCTCACCTTCTGTTTACTCTCATCAAATCATTTAATACATTTGGCTACTTTTTATGAACAAAGAATTAACATTTAAGAAGCAATTACTGCGGACTGTAGGTTTTAATTATGTTCTCTTTAGCTTGTAAGATAGAGATTATTACACCTGCTTCACAGATGAGAAAACTGAGAGATTTTAAATGACTTCCAAAGGCCCAACATCTAGCCAGTGATGGAATCAGGACTTGAGCCAATCTGGTGTGCTCTTCCCTGCACCCCAGAACCTACGCAGGCTCTTGTCAAACTTGAAATATTTGGAGTGACACTGAACACCCAAGCCCGCAAGGGGAAGAGTAGTTAAAGCAGAGATGGGTGCTGTATATCAAAGATGATGATAAACACATGAATGGTGTATTGGCGATTCTGTGGAGTGTGAAAGGTGTGAACAGTTAGCTTAGTTTTCTGCCTCAGTAGGAGTCTATGAAACTTAAATTACTGTTTTTTTAATTTTCAAAGTATCATTTCAGAACCATGGGATTTATGATAATTAAAATATGACTATGAGGAAATCATTTTTCAAGCTTTATTTATGGGATGGGGGTGCAAAAGGTTATTAAATAAGTCTACAGGGCCCACAAATACAGTGGAATCTGCCATTCAGCCGGTACCCTTGGTTTAATGTTGGACTTCATTTTTCTGTGCCTTTTTCTTGACAACCTCTTCCTCTTTGCTGTTTAATTCACAAACTCTTGGAAGAGACGACTCAGATTTTAAACTGACTTGAGCAGTATGTGTGGCTCTGTTTAAGATGCTCTTGGTGGCAGTAGTCATGGTGATAATGAAGATGATGATGGCTGATAATGAATCTACATAATTAAGGGCCTCACATTAATTATTTGGAAATAAATTAACTAGGTTGTGTGACAGCACTGCTTGAAATTGCTGGTAATTCAGTGTCTTCTCATTCTGCAAACCTGGCCTCTGCATGTGCCTGGTTTCTCCAGCTGTGTTCTTACTGCAAACCCAGAAGCCAGGCCATCCAAAATCCTCAGCTGCTCTCCACAGTGCCTCTTCCTGAGACCAGAGCCAAGTATGTCAGGATATTGGATTCCCTGGGATTCCACAGGCAGTAGAGTACCAGGAAACCAGCTCAAGGACAGGCAGAACAACTTACATAGAATGAAAAGTTAAATTCCGAAACCAAAGCTTTTCTTGCTTAGAAGACATGAAGTCAGTTTTACTTTGTCTTCCTTATTTTAATTCAAAGCCAGACCTTTTTCTGACCATCTTCTATAGGCAAAATGTAGGTTCCTATTTTCATCTTCCATTCTGCAACCCAACAATAAGAAGTATTCTTTATTCTCTAAACAAACTACTTTGTTAGTTGAACTTATGTTAATTTCAAGCAGAAATTTCAAGCAGAAAAAAAAAGAATAACTAGAAATTAAAGAAGAGAAAGATTTTAAAGCTAAGGGCATTACAGATTGTTTATCAAATATTCTTTAAATTGTTTTTATTAAATATTGAAGTGATAGAAAGGCATGTTTATTACATATGTTAACATACAAAAAATGATATTATATACATCCAGGTACCCTCCATTTAGCTTAAAAAACAAAACAATCAGAATTTTTGAAGCTCTCGAGGATGCTTTCCTAATACCATTCTACTCCCCATCCCAGCCCCCACCCAGAGGTAATCACCATCCTCAATTTTGGGTATATCATTCTCTGTTGTTGTTTTTTTTCATGAGTTTATCACATTTGAATCTTTAAACAATATATTGTTTGTATCTGAATGTTTGGAGACTTCATGTAAATGGAACCGTGCCGTATTTATTCTGCAACTTCTCTTTTCCCCAAAAGTTATGTTGCTATGTATGATCTGACAGTGCCCGCATGTTTTCTGCTCTGTGGTGTCCACTGCATGAACCTCCTACCACTATCCATCCAGTCTACTGCTGACGGTTCTTCTGTCTTTACCAACAATGCTGCTCTTCTTGTACATGTCTCTTTGTGCACGTGTATGATATTGCTTAAGATTTATAGCTAACATGGGAACGGTTGGTTCAGTACACAGCTTTAATTTTACCAAGTGATGCCATGTTTTCCAAAGCGGCCATATAAGCGATTCCCATTCCTCACACCCTTGTTTAGAGTTTTCAGATTTCTAATTTTCACTAATCCAGACGGTACTACAATTTTAATTTTTACTTCTCAGATTAGTAATGAGATTGCATCTATTTCTTTAGTCCTTTTCTGTGAGTTGACTGTTTAAACATTTGGCCCAATTTGGTCCAATACTTGACTGTTTAAGTAATTTTCAATTATTTCATTAGATTTATATTTAAGTAACATTTTGCGTCAATTGTCATCATATCTCTTATCATTTCTCTACTGGATGGTCTGTCTTTCACTTGACTTGTAGGAATTATTTCTAAAAGTCCATGTTAATTCTTTATCTGCCATGTCTATGCAAATAGCTTCTCCCTGTTTGTGGTTTGGCTTTTCACTTTCTTAACCATGTATTTTGACAAATATATTAACATGTTCTTAATTTTAACATATTCTAAATTAACAATTTTTGAAATCCCCTCCTACTCCAGATTCAAATAGGTATCTTCCTGCACAGTTTTCTAAATATTTTGTAGCATCATCTCTCACAATTAAGGTTTTAGTCATCCGGAATTGATATCCAATATTCAGTTTTTACATGGATAACCAATTGCCCCAGCACCATTAATCAGAGAGTTTATCCTTTCCCCATTGATCTAAAATCACATCATGTGTTACATTTCCATACGTACGTGGATATGTTTTTGAATCTCTATTCCGTTCTACTGACCAGTTTCGTCTACCTCAGACAAACACCACACTCTAGTTTACAAATTTTACCATTATGCCTGTAATACATCTTGATGTTTGATTGGACGGGTCACCCATCTTATTTTGTAGTCAGAAGTGCATTTACTATTTTTAGACACTTGCACTTTTAGGCAAGTTTTAAAATCAGGTTGGCAAGTCACACCTATCAAACTTCCCAAAAAAAAACTCTTGGATTTTTATTAGAATTTTATAAAATTAATTTGTGATAAATTTACATCTTTATGTCACCAAGTCTTTCTCTGAATGAATATGATTAACCTCTACATGGGTTTGTCTTCCCTAATATCTCCTAATAAAGTTCTACATTCCAAGAAAAAGTGTACATCACTTATTAGATTTATTT